ATACAATGCCAATAAAATCCTAACAGGATATTTTGTATTTATGCACAGAATTTTCTGAAATTTACACTTGCTTATAAAGGAACTAAGTAGGTAAACTGATGAGGAAGAGAAAAAAAAAAACTTGGAGCAACTATAGTCCCTGATTTGAAGAGTAACGTGACTCAGTAATCCAGACAAGATGGTACTGAAAATTGATGGGCTCATAGATCAGAGGAACAGGACAGAGAATCTAGGAATACGCCCATACAAATATGTCATTTGATTGCTGAGGCAAATGCAAAGTAATTCAGTGGAAAAATGGGATCATGGTGTTAGGATAAAAAGCCGCCCATGTGTAAACAAGGAACCTTGGCCTCCACCCCATGCCTTACCCAGTTCTCTCAAAACAGATCAGAGTTCTAAACTAACACAGGAAAACACTTGTGTCAGTTGGGATTAACCAATGAGCTCTCAGACATGACACCAAAATTAAATTCCATAAAAGAAAAATGTTGACCTGCTGAACATCATCAAGGTGTTAAAACTGAAAGTTTAAATTTTTATTATGCAACAAATACCACAAAGAGCAAAAGGAAAAGAAAAAACAAACACAAGCTACAAAATACCTAGAAATATTTGAAAATTGTGTTTAATGAGGGTCTTACATCCAGAAAATATGACAAAGTTCCAGAATTTCACAATGAGATCAAACAACCCAATTTTTATAAATTAGGTAAAACTTAGAGTAGTTTGCTGAACTACATGTAAAGATAGCAAATAAAAACATAAAAAGGGTTTCAATATTATACACCGTTAGGAAACTAAAAAAATTAAACCCTGATTTGAGAGTCCTATGTATTTCTTAGAATGTTTACAATTAAAAGTAATGACAGCATCAAGAGCTGAGCTGTAATACAACTGGAATTTTCATGATTGTTGGAAGAAACCCAAAATTACACTGGTACTCTGGAAAGCACTTTTGTATAAAGTTAAACATGCATTTACTATATGACCCAGCAATCACACTCCTAAGCATTTATCACATGAAATAAGTTGAATGTCCATGAATAATACTATATACAAATGATTATGACAGCTTTGTTTATAACAGCTCAACACTGGAAATGACCCAAATGTCCTTTCAGAGGAAATAGATAAGTGCTGACACATCCACACTGTGGAATATTCCTCTCATGAGTGAAAAAGAATCAAAATACTGAGGAACTGGGATTTAGCTCAGCGGTGCAGAACTTACCTGGCAAATGTAAGGCCCTAAGTTTGATTCCCAGTACCAAAAAAAGTTTAAAAAAATCCAGGAAAACAAAACAAAAAAAGAATCGAAATACTAACACATGCAGCAACTTGCCTGAAATCTCAGAGGTGCTTTGTTCAGTGAAACAACCCGGTTTCTAAAACTTATAAATGCATGATTCTATTTATAAGACGTTCTCAGAAACACAAAACTATAATCATAGATAATAGATCAGTGTTCCTCAGAGGGAACAAACAGGGACTTGGGAAGGTACGATTCTAAAGGGCAGTCCAGGTTGTGGTAGTGATAGCAATTCTGTGGGTGAAAATACATAACTTTACACCAAAGAGAGAAAGTCTGTTATTGACTTTTGTAGAAAGATTTCAAAAAGAAAAAAAAAAAAATAGTAATGCATTGTTTTCTCAAAACGAAGGCAGAACTGTTGGTTCTAGGGTCCGGCATTCTTAGCTGTACCTTTGCCTTCTACCTGGAATTTCCCTTGAAAATATTTACTATTCCAATAATACATCCATTTCCTCTAAAGGCATCCTTTCCTACTCACCACCCTCAGTAAAGGAGAGAAGTGATTTATCGGCTCAGGACAGTTTAACTGCATGGAAAAGCAACATCTTTTTCCCCACAGAATGCATTGTTCAGAGATGCAACTTCATTTATTCCAACTATTTTTCCATTGTGTCTTATGTATTTTGGTTTCTAACACAGAGATTCTAAAGCTTCGTATTTCATGATACGTTAATTTCTCTGAGTTTCTCCCCTGAATAGGCAGACTTCCCTCAGAGGAGAATGCAAATTTCTCTAGACTTAGATTCTTAACTTTTGAATTACATAATATTCGGCAGGTAGGTCTGTTGGGAGGCACTGGAGTTTATTTCATTTGGAGCCCAGGAATGGGCAGTTAAAAAGATCATCTCTCTATGCATCTGCTTCAGATGGCACCGGGATCTTCCTGTAGCAATTCCTTTAGGGCAGCACATTGAGTCTGTAGGCTTTCTGTCTGTCTACTTCTGTCTCTGTCTCTCTTACTCTTATAACTGTATTTAAATGCAGAAAGTTCTGCCTGCCCCTTTAGAAAGCACCATGCAATATTTTGTTGTGTTCCCTTATGTGAGTACATTATATGTGTTTTTGTTCCCACTGAGGTCAAGAGGCTGCTTTTCCTTGCCCGTGTTCCAGGGCACTCTGTGTATGTCAGAGTTCTCAGACATCTCAGGGCAGGGTGCTATTTGCAGACTTTAATCATGGCAGTTTCGTTCAGAAGTTATTGGCCACCAACTTCATTTGTATGTTTTTCATATACAATATTTTCATCATAGCAGATCTTTCAGTTATTCAAAATTGTTCCTTGATTTTTCTCTGCCAATTTTTTTCTTGGTTGAACAGAATAATATTTCTTTTGTCAAAAACTTGTATCAGCTATTATTGGTGTGAGACTTGGATCAATTCCTTTACTCAGATGTTTCATTTGCATTGTTTTGTTTCTCGTTTCTGTGGTGAATTTCTCAAGGCTCTGATCTGTATCTGGGGTTTTCTGAAGTCTTGATCACATTGTGGATGCTGCAGATAGATAAACTTTTTGGTTTGACTTTTCCTTCTCTCAAAGGCTGTGCTTGGCCAGAGTGCTCCTCCTTTAACCTCTATGATTTGCTAAGTGACTAAAAAATATTTCTAAATTCATACAGAGACAATCCCTTTGTGCATATTTGCAAGTCAAGCTCTAAGACTGAAGTGAATACTACATTTGTGTCTTGCTAATGTGAAATCCAAGTTTTTGTTTACAGTAACATTTTTAAAAGCAGCAAAAACTATAATCATTTAAATCCCAAATAATCCAAGATGAAATTGAAATAATCTAAAAGCTAACATTATGTTAAACATTTGCCCATGATAATACTGTTCTATTAACTCATTCAGCCCTCACCAAGCCCCTGAACGTACCTACTGTGGAAGCAGAAACGATGAGGTATAGAGCTGCGAAGTAACCTAAGACATCAAAACTAGAAACTATGACAATAGCAGTAATGATAAAATACCCTTCCTTGCCTGAACATTTTAATTCATCAGATACTGGGCTTTATGCTTCATCACACTTTTTTCTGTAAATTAGGCAGTCTGACCTTTGTTGTATAGGTGATAAATCTGGGGCGTAGTGGGTACCCTGCCTCTGGCCCAATATCCAAGCAGAAGGAAGCAAAGCTGGGTTCCAACTCACAGTGCCTGGCTCAGGAGCTTCAGTTTGAATCTGCTTTGTGCATGGAAGCTGCCACATCTGTGCAGGGGGATCTGGTGTATATGCTGGCCCTCATTAGGCAAGGGCCATGGAGACTCAGGGTCCTCACCTGCCCCGGGCAGACTGCACGTGAACCTTGGTTTGTGGACTTGCTGGGCTCTTCTTTCTAATGACTAAACAGCTGCTCTGAAATAAGGTACAAAACATTGAGCCCTTGATTTGAGAAAATGTTCTTTGTGTGGCTCTTTGCCTGCTTTTCCTCTGCTGAGTGTTTCAAAGTAAGTTCGGGCCAGGTCATAGTGCCCTGACCACGTTTCTCATATGGAAAGGATTATTACGAGGCATTAGACACTAAGAATACAACGGTTATTTCCCCAAATTTGACTTTGATTTGATGTGTAATGGGGTCATCCTTTTACATCACAAATCACTCTCCTTCAACGGCATCACTTATCCTGCTCTGTACCTGCGTATTTATTTATGAACCCTTATCACTCACACCAAGTCAGAACTGTTCTCTGACTCATCATCTCAGACTGACCCTGGGAAGCTTGGTTTTTTAGGGGTTCCATTGTGGAAATTTTGTCCGTTCTGAGTAAGGACTGAAATTCCATTTTTACAAATGCTTTTTCTTTCTAGTTATCATGTTAATGCACACAGTCTTTTCAGATACTTGGTGGAATCCAAGTTCACATATATGTACTTGTGCCTGTCACAACACACACTTAACTCTGGAAAGGAAGGTGACATGTCTAAAGCAGGGATTGGCAAATGATATATAAACTGTCTGCCGCTTGGTTTTGTAGATCAACTTTTATTAGAATTTAGCTGCCTCGTTGGTTGTGTTCTGAACATTGTTGCATCAACAGCATTGAGTAATTGCAGCAGATATCAGATCCACAAGGTCTAAAATATTTAATAACTGGTCACTGGCTCCTGATTTAGAAAGGTATGATGGCACCCTCTTTTCCTTGGCAATATAATAAAAAGGCACTGTTGACAGGTATAGTAAACAGCCTTAGCTTTGTTTTCCCAGGAGGGAGAATAAGACAGTCTTCCTATGAAGCTGTTCTTTTGGGTCAACCTTATAATTTTAATTATTCACTCTTTCATTGCTTTATAGCTTTTCTAAAACTGCTCTGATAAAAATCTTTAAAATTCTGTTCTTTAAAAATGCATGTCCACTAAATGTATTAGTGGAGTTCTGAACCAAATGATTTCATTTTGATCATGATTTTTATTTGTGTTCTGTTTTTGTTTTTTATTTTTTTGTTTGTTTGTTTTTAGTATTGAGGATTGATTCCATGTCTTAGTACATCCTCACCCCTTTTAAAATTACCTTTTATTTTGAGACAGGGTCTCCCTAAGTTGTTCAGTTGCCTAGGCTGGGCTAAAACTTATCATCCTCCTGTGTTAGTCTCCCAGAGAAATACAGGCAAAAGTGTGAGATTTTACTACTTCTTTGTGCCCTGACACTACCACGAAAGTTCATGTTCTCTCTTTTTGTGTTCTGTGTTTTAGAAGTCTCTGCAGTTGTTTTTACATAGAGCCACTCACTTTTGAGGATTGAATTATTGGTTCTTCATAAAGCCATGGATCTGGATAAACCATCTGTCTGGGGCTCATTCAAACAGCGGACCAGGCCATTGTTAATCAACTTGAGCAAGAGGAAGGTGAAGAAGAACACAAACAAACTCCTAGACTTAAGGGCAAGGCATCACCTGGACCGGCGCCTGAGCCTGTCAGTACCTGACCTTCTGGAGGCTGAAGCCCTGGTTCCAGAAGGCCACCCTTACACGGGACCCCAGTCCTCCTATACCTCAGTGCCCAACAGCCTGTCCACGGCAGGGATCATTCCCAAGAGTAGCAGCAGCTCCTTGAAACAGTCGGAAGAAGAACTGGACTGGAGCCAGGAGGAAACAAGCCATCTGCATGCAGTGGAGACAGACTCAGAAGAAATCTACACCTCTCCCACTGAGGATATGTGGGCCTCCAGCCCCGGCCTCTTTGATCTGCAGAAACCTCTGCTTGGAGTGGATGTGCCAGAAGAGCCAGAGGTGAGACCAGGGCTTGCTTCCTTCCTCCCTTCCTTCCTCCCTCCTTCCCTCCCTCCCTCCTTTTTTCTTTCTTTCTTTCTTTCTTTCTTTCTTTCTTTCTTTCTTTCTTTCTTTCTTTCTTTCTTTCTTTTCTTCCTCTCTCTCTCTCTCTCTTCCTTTCTTCCTCTCTTTCTCTCTTAAAACTTTTTCTAAAGTGCTTTCATTGCCCTTGGAAACTTTGGCTAGCAGTTATGTTTGTGGTTAACTTGGATGGGGAGAACATCATTTACAAGAATTTAAATTAATGTACTATTGATTTCACCCAGTGTTCCCATTAGTTTTGAGATTGACCTCTATGTGTTTAAAAACAATTACAAAGAACCTTTTTAGGATACTGTAAGGCATTATAAGCCCTCCTGGATGAAAATTTGTTTTTGTCTCCTGGCAAAGAAATTAAGAGCATGACTTTTATTTAACTTATTATTTCAACCTGTTTTTCTCTCACTAAACCATTACCCAGACGTTCTTAGTGATAAACCATGCATATTTGCATTTCTAAGAAATGTAGGAAGACGTTTCTACATTTGACTGCTAGAAGCCTGGTTTCCTCTTGTCCTATGCATGTGTATGCACACATGTATAAGGGCTTATTTCACTGGCATTATCTGAAAAAAGAAGTAGATAAATTTTTGTTGATTCAGTGATTTTAGCAAAACTTTAGCGTATTCAGTCAAATGTAATTATGCAAATCTAGCATTTCTAAGAGTTTGTTTGCATAATGATTGTATTTGGGTGTTGAATCTAAACAGTTTTAAAATAATTCCTCCATTAATGACACTGAAATAGCTTCCAGTGTTGACACACAGGGTTCACTTTTGTTTTCAGGTGAGTGTTGAAAATGCATACATAATTGGTTATTCAAATGGAATTTTTGGTTTTATGTTTAGAATGAAAGCACATGAATTTTGCAACTTATTTGGGGAATGGATTCATGGATATTTGGACTATGTTATGACCTTATTTTTTGCACATGTGACTGAGTTAGGATGCCATGACCCATGAAATGATTTAAATATTTTCTCCTTGAACATTAACATTTATGAAAAAATTTCATTAAATTAATTTCATGATATTTACTGCTATTTACAAATTTGAAGTGTTTGTTCTTCTTAGTTACTTTTCTCACAGCTGAGACAAACTACCTAACATGCACAAGTTAAAGGAGGAAAGGTTTATTTTAGTTCACAGTTTGTAGAATTTTCAGTACGTAGTCAGCTAGTTCCAAGGCAGGGTGGCATGGCAGAGGGATATCCCAGATAAGAAACAGTCCATGGCAGGGCAGGCATGAGGCAGAGAAGCAACAACTGCATGCCTTCCATCTTTCCCATTATATTCCTTCCAGGCTACAACCCTATTTGGTTTCACCCACACCCGAGGTGGGCTTTCCATTATCCTCACCGAGAATTCTGTTAAACCAATTTAGTTATCACACACCCTTAATCCCAATATCACATATCCTAAATCCAACCACCTCTGTAAAGGTCCATCTCTTAGCACATGAGTCTTTGGGGAGACATGTAGATATAAGCCATAATATTATTTCCACTGAAAAAAATACATATTAGTTGTATTAAGAATTACCTCAGTAGCAGAGGGCAGCATACTGACTTATGTACTGAAATCTATCTTCATCATCTTTTTACTTATCTACCCAGCAGCATCGAGTGCATTTCTTGGCTTTAATACACTAATACTTCCAAATTTGAAGAATATTTTAAACCTACTGGTATTAAACTTTTAGTGCTTGTTTCATATTTGTTGAATGCTGCTATAGACCAGGCACTGTAAAGATTGCTATAAAACATAGACATTGGTAAGACGTGCCACTCCCCTAGGCTAGGATCGATGGGAGCCAACTTCGCACACCTCTGAGCACAGCATAAGAGGCAATTGGATATAAGAGCTGTGCCTGAAAACTCTAAGCCTGGTGTCTTGGCAGTGCAGTTGAGGGCAGAGATCTAGGAGTAGGGGCTGAGGGCACATCATATCTGAGGCAGAGTCCAAGCTGACATAGAGAATAGTGCATATGCCAGATGAAGAAATACAGTCAACACAAACCTGAAGCATGTGCAGAGTGGAACAGAGGCTTAGGGAGCTTTCTGGAAGAGTGGGCTATGCTGAGGACCTACCATGGTCACTGATGGTAGATGGCTAGTTGGTTGTGGTGGCCATTTTGTCTTGCAGAAGCTAAGTGCAGGGAGCCTGGAATAAGCAGAGTCCTTCAACAATAGGGTATTCTGGGTCATTCAATATTTTCTTTTTACTCACCCATCGTATTTTAAGTAGCCTTCTTGGGGAAAATATCCTTTACTTCTCTTTTCTTGTAAAGAAATACAAGATAGGGATTTGAGGCTGACTCTTTTCCCATGGTTGAAGGTCTCACCACTTGAATGCTATTTCTCAGTCTGGTGGCCTGTATCCAAAGAAGCAAGGCGCTGGAATACACCACATCAGATTCGAGTGAGCCAGCAGTCAGATGTAGAGTTCTGCGCACGCTGCTGCCTCCTCTCCTCTGCCTCCCTACCCTGATCCTGCCTTTACTGTCTTGATCCCTGAGAGATCAGAATTTATCACATGCCACAGAGGAAATACTCCCTTTCTTATCTCCTCCACTCGACTGGATTAATTTGGGAAGTAGGTATGGCCGATTCTCTTTCTTTTCCAAGGGTTTAGGTACAATGGCTGTACTTTCTAGACAGCCAGTGCTCAACCAATATCTGTTTAATATGAACATCAGTATGTGTATTCTCAGGTTAATAGAGAGAGAGTGTGTGTGTGTGTGTGTGTGTGTGTGTGTGTGCACGTGCACCTGTGTATATGTATGTTGGATGCTGGCATCAAATTCAGAGGTCCACACATGCTAGACAAGTACTCTACCACTGCACTATATCCCCAGGGCTTTTGTTTGTGTTTTTACCCTGAATTCTCTTTAGATTATGATTTAACTAAGTCACCTTAAAACCTGCATCCTAAGTGAAATCTCTTTTAAAATGATGTTAGCTGAAACTATAAAGAAGTTTAGGCAAATGTAGATTTTCCAGCTGCTAATTTTAAATCTGAAGTCATTTTTCTGGTGCTTTAAGTGAAAACAGAATTCCTTTTGCATTCACTTCATCTGAGAGTCCTGGCGTCAGTTTATCTGTACCTGGGATCTGGTGCATCTGTTTCTTCCTTAAGAATAGCCGGCAGCTTTGTATAACTTCTCATGAAATGGGGAAGACATGAGAAGTGAGGAAAGGGCAGGCATGTGACCGCCTGATGCTCGTCGAGGACAAGTGGAGGTGTGCCAGGTTTCTTGGTGTGGCTTACTTTGTAGCTTTGCAGAGACGGTGAAGCAGGGACCATGGGTGGTCTGAAGGGCGCCCTCGGTTCGGGTGGGGAACTTGTCTCACCTCTTCTGTGTCAGGCTGAGCCTACAGCAGTGGGGAGGAACCCTGAATACCAGTTATGCCTGAATGCCATAATCTCTCTGCCATCCTGCCAGTGACAACAAAGAGGGAAACTGCCAGTTTCTGGTTATGGAAGAGTGGATTGAGGAGACAGAAGAGAAAAGTAACGATGAGCAGAAATGAAACGGGATTTGAGAACATGCAAAGCAGGTGGAACCCATAGTAGTCAGCTCAGGTGTTCAAACAACCATCAAACCAAAGTGGGAGGAAGAAGACTTAGCATAAAGCACTTGCTGGTTTAGGAGACTTCCTAAACAAGAGTCCTTCTTGAGCCCTAGATTCATCTTGTGCTAGACATCGAATATCTAATGAAAACATGGCCCGAACATGTCCTGACAGAATTCACCATCTCCCCGAAATGCTGCAAACACAGACTATCATTTCACATTACCATCACTGTTACTCACCTAGTTGCACAAGCAGAAGCTGCTGAAGTATGTTAGATTGTCTTCCCTCGCTTTTCACACTCTATGAGGGCTTCGTGAGCCATCTGACATCTATCTCTACCTTGGGTTCCCTCTTCAGCTTCCCTCATAGAAATCCCTCTCCCGCTCCAAGGCTCAAGTGAAACCTTCCTCTCAAGGGTGCTTTGCAGTCAATTTACCCACCCTGCCCTCATTTTCACAGCATGCTGGTATTACTGAGCCGTAATCTCAGTCTGCTTTGTGTAGAAAGCTGAGGGAGAGTGTCTTAATTACTTTTCTCTTGTTGCTGAGACAAAATACCTGACACCCAGAATTAAGGAAGGAAATGTTTATTTAGCTCACCGTTTGTGGAGGTTTCAGTCCATACTCAGCTGGCTCCAAGGCAGGGTGGCACATGGCAGAGGGCAACAGTTCACAGCAGCAGAAAACAGCAAAAGCTGCAAGAGCAAAAATGGGGAGAACAAGCCTCTTTTCCTCCCTTATATTGTAAGCAGGCTGCCCCTACCCAGGGGCATGTAGCACTCACACAGTCTCCATGCCCTCCCCTTGTGCAGGCTCAGGATGGATACAAAGTAAGCACCCTGGCCCCCTGCTAAGTCACTTACTTAACCTTCTAAACCTCTCACATTGACACAATGAACAACATCCCAGAGCGGTCAGGGCATGTCCTTTTCACCCCAGGATGGAGAACTGCTCGGTCACAGCCAATCCTCTAGATTCCTCAGGTTGACACAATGTATCAACCATAACAGACAGGAAGGGGTGACAGCAGGCAGAGGAGGTAAAGATGGGCGGCAAATTGGTGCTGGGTAAGGTATGCTTGCCTTTGAGGTCACCAGACCTATCCAGACCATGAACCAGACCCATCCAGTGGCCACATTGCTCTAAGGATTGATTCAGAATAGCCAACAGATCATGAAACTAAGCGATCAATTGCAATCCCAACTAATTCACCATGTGGATGAAATACCATCTAGCTGTGACATGCCTTTAGATATAAATAGCTCATCCTTTATTGTTGTCAAATCACAGTCAATGTTGTCACCTTCATTAATTTTGAGTGAAAAATATTTACCTCCGGGATGAA